GGGCAGTGGGAGAAGGAGAAAGAATCTTAAGCAGACTCCACGCTGGGCATGGAGATGACACATGGCTCCATTACAACCCTGAGATCATGACCTGAGTTGAAATCAAGAGTGGGTTGCTTGACTGACTGAGCCACCCAGGTGCCTGTGGATATGTAAACATTTTAAATCTGATTCAGCTGGGTTTCTTCTTATTGTATCCTTCATTGACAGAGTTTCCTGCACTTTCAGGAGAAATTTTAAAGAGAAAGGAAGAAAATTTTTAAAAAATGAAGCAGAGTATAGTGAACTAAGTAGTCTTTGATTTCAGAAACTTCTAGAGGATTTTAATGTATTTTCTTTTTTAAAATGTATTTTCAATCCACTTTTCTCCGTGTCTAAAATCTATAGTTCACAGAACATTATGACTAGAATGGTGCTTCATAAGCTACTAAGTCATCCCTAAGAAATTCAGTTCTTATTTTACTAGATTTACTAAGGCAGAAAAGTAGACGGAGGTATTACATGATGGCAATGTTTGGAAGGAGATGCTTGATCTTTTCTACTGGAAGGCTAACAATGGTGGGAGATGCCATTTACTATGGAATTATGTCTCTTCAGTGGAGTGGAACAAGGGATATTGAGTGAGTACTTCTGAACAGGTGGAAAGGGATATGTGAGTGTCATGAGAATACAAGCTGCTGACTTTTGGACACCATGGGTAGCTTGTACCAACTATAACCCCTTATGGTTGGCAGGAAAGAGATGATGAGGCAGCAGTTGTCCCACATCCCAAAGGTAACTTCCTAATGATCCTTATTTCATATATACACTAAGGGTTGCCAGTACTTACTCTAGAATGATTTTCAACAAGCATTGGAAATAGGGGGTCAAATTAAGCCTTTGGTTACTAGGAAACCCCATCACTACATATTTGTATTAACAGCTATCCAATAAAATATTTATCAAATATCATTAGGGGTCATGTTCTGTGCTAAGTGCTAGAATGCCAGGGTAAGAAAAACATAAATGGTACCATTGCCATCTCATTGGTTGCTGACTAGTGTGTGATGCAGACAAGTAAACAAGATGATATAACACAGTAATAACACCCTGACAGGAGAAATACAGGGAACCATGGCAGTAGACAGAAGGGGGTACTTAGCTTTTAGTTAAGGAGCCAGAGAGGCAGAGGCATCTACATGAAGGATGAACAGGCATTGGATGGACCAAAATGAGTTGGGCAAAAAGGAGCATTCTAGGCAAGAAGAAAAAGCATATACAGAAGCTCAGAGAAAGATCATTTTGTCTGGAGCATATGAATCTTGAGAAGAAGGAGAAATGGTAGAAATGAATTTAGAAAAGTAAACAGAGTCCTGACATATAGGGTTTTATACACATTTGGGCTTTATGCTAGATAGGACAGAGAGCCACTGGAAGGTTTTCCAATAGAGAAATGACTTGATAAGCATTTTAAGACAATGATTCTGGTGGCATTCTAGAGAACAGGCCAGAGGGAGAGAATACTGGGAAGAATGAGACAAAAGGGGAGATTTGCAGAAGTTTAGATATGGAAAGATGGTAGCTTTTATTTCCCAAATGATGGCCTTCTTTTTTTATTTTTTTATGGCATTCTTAAAAGTGTTTTTGTATCTGGCACACTAGACATTAAAGTTATTTATTCTTACTTTTATAAGATTAAAATGTTTGTTATTTTTAACTTTGTAGTCCCCACTTTATAATAAGAAACCATTCTTATTTCCTCTTTCTGGTATCTTTGTTAATTATTATGTCTGTTCCTTCCTGAATATTCTCCTGTAAATGTCTTTTCTGCTCTTGACATGTATTCTCCATTTTTTTGTTCTGTCTGTCTGTCTTTACGGTTCTTTTTCAAACTTGAGTACAGAATTAATGATGAGAGAGAAGTAATTATGATTCTAGTGAATAGATTTCAATTGCCATAACTAGGGATGGCCTGAAATTTCTTGAAAAGGACAAGAAGAGGAAAATTCAGTGGTTTTCAGCACTGGAAAGAAAGAATATAGTTTAAAAACAATGTTCTTGGAGGGGAGGAGGCTTGCTTTACAGCAATCAATATAGTAGAATTAGAAAAGACCAACATAGATCAACCCCAAAGTGCAAAAAGTAATTAAGGGCACAAAAAGCACATAATAAATGTCAAGTACAAAACAGAAGCTGAGAAATTACAGAGTGAAGTTCAGAGTTTAAAAATGACAGAAAGACCAAAGGTGGCAAATAATAAAAACATTTCATATAAGACTAACTAAAAGTGCTACAATATTACAGCAATATTATATAGGACACAAAAGGTCAGGGAACAGCCTAGAAAGGTGTCTAATGGATAGCAAGGCTGATTCATTGACTGAGAGGGTCTTGTAGACATTGATTTAAAAAGGTAAAATTAAACGAGTTCTTTGTCTCAGAGGTCTCAAAAAGCTCAGTCTTGCTAAACAGAGAAATCAATTTAAAATGAAAAAAAGTAAAATTGTTCTTTGGAAGTGTTACCAACCAATAGGTGGCAAAGAAATTGAGAATTTTGAATCTCATATAGGACCAGATATGATTTCTTTTAGGATTAGTGATGTCCAAGGCCTTTAGAAATCTTTTTTTAAAAAAGTATGTCGCTTTTGTGTATCTTGTTCCCAAGTCACCCAGCATAGGCCATTCTTATTTTTTTTATTTTTAAAACTTTAAAAAGATTTTATTTATTTGAGAGAAAGAGTAAGAGAGAGAGAGAGAGAGAGAGAGAGAGCATGAACTAGGGGAGAGGGAGAAGCAGACTCCCTGCTGAGTAGGGAGCCTGCTGTGGGGCTTGATCCCAGGACCGGGGGATCACAACCCAAGCGGAAGACAGATGCCCCCAGTGCAGGCCATTTTTAATGCTTCCTTGGCTTTCTATGTGTCTGAGTATGACACATCTGTCCCTTACCAGGTGAAACAAAAGAAAACATCAAGAGGATGTACAGAAATCCTAGCAAAAGAACTTCTAACCTATTAACCTTTTTGGGGGGCGGTGGCGGGGGAAGGGAGAATGTGCTCATTGTCATGTGAGTTAGAGTTGGTGGAATGGGAATTGCTCACTCTGGAAATCCTTTGTCTTAATCCCTTTGTGTTTTTATAACAAAAATATCATAGACTTGGCTTAAACAACAAAATTTATTTCTCACAGCTTTGGAGGCTAGAAAGTTCAAGATTAGCCAGAAGCCTATTTCTTGGCTTCTACGAGAAGTTTTGTAGACAGCTGCCTTATAGTTTGTGTGTGCGTGTGTGTGTGTGTGTGTGTGTGTGTGAGTGTGAGTGAGAGAGAGAGAGAGAGAGAGAGAGAAGAGAGAGAGAGAGAGAGAGAGGGGGCAGGCAGACAGGCAGGCCGACAAACAGATAGGCACACTGACTAATCCCATCCTGAGGGCTCCACTCCCAGGACCTAATTACCTCTCACAGGCTTCATCTCCAAATACCATCATTTTGGGGATTAGGGTTTCAACATATGGATTTGGAGAGAACACAAACATTCATTGCATAGCATTCTCAGGGAAAGAAATTTTCCAGAGAGAGAGGGCGATTATTCTTTTTTAATTGTACCGTTAAAGGCAAGGAATGGATGAGCCTGATTGATTTATGCTCTGTTCTCGTCCTGCTTGTTGAAGTAAGGACCACAAAAGATGGAGTAAGTTCCTAGAGTAAGTAGAGAAGGTGGTAGCACCTGAGGGTGAACAGCAACTGAAATAACTCGCAGAAAGTGAGGGAACCAAGGGAAGTGGAACATGAAGAGCTGGTCTGAAGCAATGCAGAGGATTCTGAACCCTCAGGAGACGGTTGTTGGGTTCTCCGATTCCGTGTAACTATTATGTGTCTGGTCTTGGAAAGACAGTGGTCAACTCTGGGATTACTAATTATGTTACATTAAGTGTAAATTATGTGACTTCAAGTGTAACTTTTAAATTTTTCCTTAATTTCATATTTAAACATTTCCCCAAATATCCAGAAAGGTTGGAAGAATAACACAATATGAACACTTGTATACTGATTACCTTGATTCAACAATTGTTCATATTTTGCCATATTTGCTTTATATAACTATTTGTAAGTATGTATATTTTTTTCTGAATGCCTTGAAAATAAGCTACAGACATTGTGATATTCACCATAGATGTTTTATATAACCACGATATTATCAACATACTTATGAGAATTAAATATCTAATGATTATATTGAAAATAACCAAGTTAATTTCAAATTTTTCCAATTTTCCACAAATGATTTTTTTTTGGATAATATTCCATTGTCTATATATATGATATCTTATTTAAAAAATATTTTATTGGAGTTCAATTTGCCAACATATAGCATAACACCCAGTGCTCATCCTGCCAAGTGCCCCCTTCAGTGCCCATCACCCAGTCATCCCAGCCCCCCTGCCCACCTCCCCTTCCACTACCCCTTGTTCATCTCCCAGAGTTAGGTGTCTCTCATGTTCCACAAATGATTTTTAAACCTCTTTTTTAAAAGCGAGAATTCAAATAATGTTCAGAGATTGTGTCTGACTTCTATGTCTCTCTAGTGTCTTTTAATCCGGAAGTCTCTATTTCTTTCCCTATAAATTTTACTTTCTTAAGACATGATAGTTGTCTTTTGAGTTCCTACATTCTGCATTTATCCGGTGTTGTGTTCCTAGTTCTTACAGTATCTGGATTTCCTGCAGAATAAAAGTAGATCTAATAGCTTGATTGGATTCAAGCTAAACATGTTTTGGCAGGAATATTATGCAGATGATGTCCTTATTTCATATTATGTTACCACAAAAGGTATGTAATGCTAGAGTTTGCACTAACCTTATGTGAAGTTTGATAATTTGGTTAATATGATAATCACCAGATCTCTTCATTGTGAAAGGCATACTTTGTTCTCTTTACAATTCGCAAATACTCTGTGGAATAATACCCTGAAACTTGGTGAATAACCAACAATCTTTCATCTAAAGATTTTATTTTATTTATTTTTTTAAAATATGGAATGCTTCACAGATTTGCGTGCCATCCTTATGCAGAGGCCATGCTAATCTTCTCTGTCATGTTCCGATTTTAGTATATGTGCTCCCGAAGTGAGCACTCACCTAAAGATTTTAGCGTCCAACTATGCTCCTTGCCTGAAACCATTATATCATTAGGAATTGCAAAAGTTGTGATTTTCTAATTTATATATAATTTCCTCCATATTTATTAGCTGCCATTCTTTTTGAAGAATAGCTTTCCCTCATCAACTGGTACTTAATTATATTTCTTTCTAAAGAGGCAAAACACCGTCATAATTCTAAAAATGATTATAGCAATTTTGAATATAGAGAAAAAAACAAACCCAGCTGTAATCTCAACAGCTAGTAAACTAGTGTCAACAATTTGGTATGTGTCTTCCCATTCTTCTCTCAAAGCCTACAGGTATATATATTACAAAATTTGATACAGAAGTTTTATATCCAGCCTTTTATAGTTAGTATTATATCATTATCAATTTACTATGTTGTTAAATATTCTTTCAAGTATTTTTGCTGGCTGTCTGCCATTTCATAATTAGCATGTGGCATACTCTATTCTGGGGGACCATATATCCTGGTTTGTCTGCAGCAATTCTTATTTATGACTGTTGTCTTTGCAAAATTATTAAAGCATTCCCTTTTACTCCCAGAGTCATCTCGATTTGGAAGACAAATCATATAGTCACCCTATCACCACTGTACCTACAATTGACCATTTGCTGTTTTTAATTTTCTAATCTACTTACTCTTGCGTAAATCTCTGGGTGCATTTCTTATTATTTCATGAGGATACATTTCTAAAAGTGAAGTGACTGGATCAAAGTGTATGAGTATTTTTTAAGGTTCTGTCTAAATATTGCCTTGTTTGTATTTCTGTTAAATAGTGTACTATTCAACTGGACTCAACAAATTTATCTGCTTTACCTTCCCTCTGTGAAGGGTTTATCAGCATTGGCAGTATTAACATTTTAGCCCAGTAAGATCTTTTTGTAGAGGGCTGTTTGTGCATGGTAGTAGCACCTTTGGCCTTTGCCCACTACCTGTCAATAGCGACCCCATCCCAGTTGTGACAATCAACAAAATCTCTAGATCTTGCCAGATGTCCCCTGGGAGGCGAAATAGCTCTCAGTTGAGAATCACTGGCTTAGATATAATAAATGGACAGAGTAGTAACAGCAACAGTCTCCCTTTAATAGCTTATTTGTCTTGAGCCTTGAGGTTTTTTTTTTTTAATAAAGAATTGCTTATTTAGTTCCCTGGGAATAGTAAATGGTAAAAGTTTCTTTTAGTTACCAAGAAACTTTTTTTTTTTTCATTTACAAGAAACTTTTTTACATGACCCCAAACTGTTGAATAGGAATTTGAACCTCGGTCTGTCCGTCTTCAGTTTTATCCATGTGTCCTGCAGCCTCATGTAAGTTCATGCCTTCATGGCCACTATCACGAGACAGGCAAACAATGGGAAAAGAAGTATTTTCTCTCTGGTGAGCTTTTGGGAATCCTTTAGATCTGTCTGATTTTTACCAAGGTATTTCTCGTTTATTTTTGCCATCTGCAAATGGGATTGGCTGTGTGAAATCAACATTTAGAAACATGTGGTTTAGATCCTGGCGCCCAGTGGGCGCCCAACATGTACTTCCATTGGGTTGTCATAACCATCTGCTAATGGGTCTGGGCAGGGCTGAGAAGACGATCACATGAAGGGGGCTGATTACTTTCCCTCTTTCTACTTTCAAGATCTGCTCTTTCTTGCTTTCCCTCAGTGTTGATGACTTGCCCGTTGAAGTTTGGAGTCAAACAGACTCCAGGGCATTGACACGAGTGAAGGAGACACAATTTAAGTCCCCGAAAATGATGTTGATCCTTCTTTTTTTATCTTCTGTTTCAAAAAAGCTGTCGGTTCAGAATAAGGAAAGAAAGCCATGTTCAAGCTCTGGAAATAGAACACTGCATCTCTGGCTTACTTTCAGCTTGTTTGGGGACAGGTCCTAACCCGTGAGCACAGGAATAGTGAGTTAGGAGAGGATGGACTGGGGAGTGTCATCCATACATAACTTGCCAGAGCCAGTCCACCACTACCGCCAGTGAAGTCTGGGTGATGATGGGATGGATGGTCCAAGGACTCTGGCAGACTGCTCTCTTAACACAGGAGAAGGAGGGGTGGCTGGAGTTGAGCAGCTCAACTCAACTTAGAACCTTAACTGTGATAATTTCGGGAAGCTTGGCTGAACTAAAACTAGTGTTATTTAGGTTTCTCTTATTCTAAATGGTGGACGTTGCTGACTGTGGAGGTCCTTGAAAGGAAAAGCAGAGAGACAAGACGACAGTCACTTCTCCCCTAGTAGATGGTAGACCAGGAAAGAAAAAAAAGAGACTCGGTGTGAAATACAGGGAGTTCTCGTCTATTTTTAACCTATTCTTAGCTTCAAAACATGAGACTTTATGCTTTATAGTAGTCTATGGTTTTTAACACATTTCCACAAATATTAGCTCTTTGACCATTGTAACGTGGCCTCAGGAGGCAAGTCGGGCTGACATCCACATTTCAGAAACATAAAGAAGTTGTGATTTTCCTCAGTTTTACAGAATTAGAAGTGACAGGGGATCCTTGATGCCTACATCAGTGAGGTCTGTATTCCACCTTCAATGCTTATATAGCTTCAGAGCTTACACCATTTCTCTGCCCTTAGACTTTAGTTTTGTTTTGCTGGCTTTTTAAAACTAGTTCATTTGTGAATATTTTTTTAAAAGAATGATTGCGTAGTTGCCTTCCCCCAACATCAGTGCGACATTTCAGAGCGTGCCTACCATGTTGTCTGAAATTCGGGTGCTACCCCTACTCTCTGTTTGTGTTATCCTCCTTTGTGTCCTTGTGTAAGGCTTGAGCAGAGTTTATTGCTGTACATGTATCATATTTTGAATTTATGATGGCTTTTCTCTTAATGGTTTGGATATTATTGTGTTTCAGCCTCTGTGACCCGATGTCAGGACAATGCAGCTTGGGGATATATTGCTGAGTTGTAACTTATAAACCTTTGGCCCTTCTCTCTGACAGATAAACTTAACATATAACAGCATTGTCTTAAATAGCACAGAGTTAGGATTTCTTTTTTCAGTAAATGATGGATATTTGAAAAATAGCAGCGTATGCTTAAAATAGTGCATGAGCTGTCTCTCTCTCTCCCCCTTCCCCCCCTTTTAGATTGGTCATGATGTATAAAAGCATAATACAAAATGGGAAATGATCCCTTTTAATTATCATGATGCTCTTTTTAAAAAAATAATTATATTTTGTTTAGTGGAAATAAAATAATAACATGAAGCATTTATGTCTTAGTTACCTTAAAAAAAATCTTAACTCCAGTATAGTTAACATACAGTGTTATATTGTGTTCAGTTGTATGAGATAGTGATTCAACAATTCTATTCATTACTTAGTGTTTATTGTGATAAGTGTGCTTTTAATCCCCTTCACCTATTTCACCCACCCTCTCCACCCACCTTCCCTCTGGTAATCATCAGTTTGTTCTCTATAGTTAAGAGTCAGTTTTTTGGTTTGTCTCTTTCCTTTTCTTTGTTTTGTTTCTTAAATTCCACATATGAATGTAATCATATGGTATTTATCTTTCTATGCGGACTTATTTCACTTAACATTATACTCTCTAAATCCATCAATATTGTTACAAATGGCAAGATTTCATTCTTTTTTATGGCTGAGTAATATTTCATTTCATACACACACACACACTGTATCATCCTTATCCATTCATCTATCTATGGGTGCTCAGGCTGCTTCCATAATTTGGCTATTGGAAATAATGCTGTGTAAACATAAGGAGGTGCACATATCTTTTCAGATCATGGTGCTATTTTAACTTTTATCTCTTAACTATTTTATTTTATGTCTTTCAAACCCAAATTACCTTCTGTCCTAAATAGTCTTCAATTTCAGCCAGTTGAAATTTCCAGTGTTTTATTTCTCTCTCCCTTTTTCTCATTTCCTTTTTCGTTCATCCCCTATCCATCCATCCATCCATCTATCCATCCATCCATCCATCGGTCTGTCCATCCATTCATCCATCTGTCCATCCATTCATCTCTTAGTAGAGGAAGCCCATGGTTAGCATGCATAGGAACCAAAGCAGCACAATTTCAGAATTTAAAAAGTTGAAAAGTATACTTAAATTAAGTGAGTTTAAGTGAATTTAAAATTTATCTGCTCACTCCTATTTTGAAAGTGTTTCATCATAACAATGTTACTATCCCTTAAGTGTCATCATATAACCAAGCACTCATAATTTATGGAGTTAATGTGGCATCAAAAACTAAGAAGTGTTTGCTTAAGAGGTTGAAATTTGAAGTCAAAATTAGAGTATAGAATTTAAAGAATTGAAATTTATAGATTTTAAGTGTATAGAATTTAAAGTTGAAATTTAGACCGTAAATAAAAATGGCTTTTAGGGATCCCTGGGTGGCGCAGCGGTTTGGCGCCTGCCTTTGGCCCAGGGCGCAATCCTGGAGACCCGGGATCGAGTCCCACGTCGGGCTCCCGGTGCATGGAGCCTGCTTCTCCCTCTGCCTGTGTCTCTGCCTCTCTCTCTCTGTGTGTGTGACTATCATAAATAAATTAAAAAAAAAACATTAAAAAAATGGCTTTTAGTGTCCATCCTGGTATGTTGCAGTAATTGATCTTTGTGATTTCAGTAGCTGGGCCATTTCAATGTCTCCTCTCACCTCCCTCCATTCCCAACCCGCCGCCCCCCACCGACTCCCCACAGGATGGAGCCAGTCCTGCTAGCATCATGCATCATGACTGCCCAATCTTTGGCATTTTCATCAATTGCCTCAAGGTTACCTCACACTCCAGTGTCTGAAGGAAATTGACATGTGGCCAGGGAGTTTCAGCAGTTCAAAGAAATGTCTTACTTCCTAAGAGAAAACTCTACCTAATAATTTCCATCTTACAAAAGGCACTATGATGAATTTAGGTAACTTGGAGCTAAGTGATTGGAGAGTTATTACATAGTAAGAGCATATCATTTTTAGGAGATGAGAGTCAGAGTCATGTAAACTAAAG